TTCAAGTTATTTTAGGAGAGTGTTACTTTTTAATATGTGGTATGTTGAACTGCTTAAATATACTAATAATAATTATTGTTCAATATTGAATTGACATCAATAGATTATTAATTGTATTTCGTAACATTTTAATAATAGATTTAATATGTTGCTAGTAATAACGATTTAGTATATTTCGTTAGTCTATGATAATTTTTTGTATTGGGAGACATGCACGGTAATTTACCGATACCGTACCGTTACCGAACCGAAACTTCGGTATACCGAAATGCGGTATACCGAAACTTCGGTAAGGTAAAGGTATGCAAATTTTGCATACCGAAAGTTTTGGTATGACAAAGGTATGAGAAAAAATATAAGGTATACCGTACCGAACCACCCCTAGGTAGTCTTTAGAAGATAGACCTATACAAAAGTGGCAATATATATCCTCTTACGAGTGATGTTAATTTTAAAATCATGTTCGATAATAAATTGTGTAATGAGTAAGGATCAAATTTAATAGATATTAGGTGCTGTTCTGTTCGTCTTATTCTTATTACTTATTGCTTATTCTTATTTTATTCAGATCAGATCAGATCAGATCAGAAAAATTCAGATCAGATCAGATCAGAAACATTCAGATCAGATCAGAAACATTCAGATCAGATCAGATCAGAAAAGTTCAAACATGATTTATCACTTTTATTATTATATTAATTATTATTATTAATATTGTTATTACAATTATGATTATTATTATTATATAATTATTATTATTAATATTAATAATAGTATGATAAAAAAATAAGATATTAATAATAGTTATAATATTTTAATATAATAATAGTAATATAAATGTAATTATTAAGATTATTATTATTATTATTATTATTATTATTATTATTATTATTATTATTATAATTATTATTATTATTATTATTATTATTATTATTATTTATTATCATCATCATCATCATCATCATCATCATCATCATCATCATTATCATTATCATTATCATTATCATTATCATTATCATTATCATTATCATTATTATTATTATTATTATTACAATATAATAATAATATGATTAATGTTAATATAATATTATATTATAATTATATGTAATTATAATTATAATTACAATTATAATTCTTATAATTATAAGTATAATCAATTGTATTTATTATAATTATATCTATAAATATTTATAATTATAATTAATTATAATTATAATAATTATAATTATAATTACAATCATAATTATAATTATGATTATAATTATAATTATAATTAGAATATTATAATAATATAATACTAATTATAATAATAATCATATTATTATTATTATATTATTGTAATAATAATATGAATATAATAATATCATTATTACAATATTAATTGTATTTATATTAATATTATTATATTATAATATTATAATTAATGTTAATATAATTATAATTATTATTAATTATAATTATAATAATTATAATTATAATTATACTTATAATTATAATTTATGATTATAATTATTAATATTATTATTATTATTATTACTATTGTAATTATTTTACGGAGTAATTATAATAATATTGATAACTATAGTTACAATTATAGAGATAAATATTGTAATTATAATTACAATTATAATTATATAAGTAATTATAATTAAAAATATAATTACAATTATAATTATATCTATATTTATAATTAGTGTAATAAGTATAAATTTTTTCATTTTAAATTTAATTTTAATTATTATTATTATTATTATTATTATTTTTATAGTTACGATTATAATTATAATTTTATTTAAATTATATTTGTAATTGCAATTATAATAATTATAATTATAATTATAATCATAGAAATATTCAAATCAGATCAGATCAGATCAGAAAGATTCAGATCAGATCAGAAGGATTCAGATCAGATCAGAAACATTCAGATCAGATCAGACCAGATCAGAAACATTCAAATCAGAACAGAAAGATTCAGATCAGATCAGATCAGATCAGATCAGAAAGATTTAGATCAGATCAGATCAGATCAGAAAGATTCAGATCAGATCAGATCAGATCAGAAAAATTCAGATCAGATCAGATCAGAACTTAAAAAATTCAGATCAGAAACATTCAGATCAGGCGAAGAGAACAACTTCTTAGTGTTATTATTGAACGTGCATAGCTAATAATCGAGTATATACGAAAATTAAAGATGTTATGCATTTAATTTTTGTAAATACGTAACATTAACTAAATCATACATACTAAGAATGTATATATACTATCATAGCCTACATTTCATTTTCTTTATTATCGAATGAATCATTCTTAGATTTATTTATCAAATATTGGGTTAAATTGATTTGAACAAGTGACTGTCGATATATTTCAAATTCGTTGATACGGAGTACTCCGTATAACACAAGAAGAAGGTATTATGAGTGCATGTTAGGTGGTTAGTTAAGTAATTGATTGTGCTGTGTGATTTATTTTATAAAGTTTCCGTCACGATCGATCAGAATTTGAGGTACTAAACTTTTAGTGCATGGTTCCGTACCAATGAAATGATCTTTGAATTTTGTTCAAAGACAAAATATGTTTTATTTTACCTATTCAAATTCGCATAGACAAAGTAAGACATATTTATCAATGAACAAGACTCACAAATAAAAAAAAAAACTTTTCACAAAAGTGAGTATAAGGGTGGATGGAGCAAGCTTGTTGATATAGGGAGTGCAATATTTTAAAGGTGTTGTATAATTTGCCTAACCTTTTCTAAATCCTATAAAATCTTAGAAATTCTTAAATTATTTCTCTTTTAAAGCATAATTTCCCCTTTGAACTAACGCATTACACGTATGCATATCAGTGTATATACACGCATGCCCACATGCATATAGATTAGAATTTAGAGTTGGTACCGACTATAATGATGTTTGCAGTTTGCTCCTCCATTCTTAACGTCTCCATTAATTTTGCACGGATCTTAATGAACAAAAGGTGTTTGATCTATAATCTATTTTACCAAAAAGTCATCTACACCAAAAAGTTGTCGATTAAATTAACTATCAAACGACAACAGGAGTTCTGAAAAGCAGGCTAATGAAATTGAAAAAGAAAATGATTATTACAGACGGGAAAAATTCAAAATTGGGGGAAAGGCAGTACAATGTTGAACGGAGCTTTGAGTTATGATCATAACATCTAGGGGCATGATAACATCTAGCTAGGGGCAAGGTGATTTTACCAATATTTTATTTGATTAACTTAGTAAATGTTGAATTCTAAGAAATGTTAGACCACTTTAATATCTTTATGTTATGTTGCGTAGTGTAATTGGAATGTTATGCTTTTTTAACTTTACATCCATGCAAATATAGTACGGACTATCTATTATGTTAAATTCCAACATTTGAATGTCACAATAATGCAATCGAACAAATTGAATGTTATGCTAAATGTATTAGTATGAAAGAATCATTTTAATATGAATTTCGTAATGTAAATCGAAATACATCTTTTATTTTTTAATAGGGAGAGTATTTTTAATGTGTATATGTATATGCAGCGGTGGAGCTAGAAAAATGACTCAGGGAGATCGAAACTCAACTAAAAATTGAGGATCATTTTTAGATAATACCTGAGTTGAATGACATGCTTCATATGTAACTTAGATAAATGATATCACAAATGAGACTAATAAGTTATATATAGTCGATGAGTTTTCGCACCAGCGGCTAATTCAGATGAGACCCTTTATCCTACCTTGAAACTAGCTTAGTATCAAGATTTCTTAGCAAAGAATTTACTATTGAGTAGGCACTCGTAACAGTAAGATGAGTTGCATTTAATCTATCCCCGAGTCGTGTCATGTAAATATTGAGTGAATTATTCACTATTTTTAAATTTGGAAATATAATCAATATTACAAATCAAATTTTACTCATTTTAGGTTTAGAGAGTGCTTATTTTCCGAAATTCATAACTTTTTACTCGCAATGAGTTATGAGAGTCATGGTATATCAAATCTAATGTATTTTAGAGCTGTGTATTCTCAAACTTTCAGGGGGGCCAGTTGACCACTCTGACCCCTCCTCGGCCCCGCCTCTGTGAATATGGTAAGGTCGGTTTTTGAAAACTTAAAAGCTGGTTTAAAAATGTAATCATCGTATAAAATACAAAGAAGAATAACTCCAGGTCCTTTTTTAACTTTGGAAAAAGGGTCAATAAACCCTTCTACTATTTTCAACCTGTCACTAAAGAACCCGTACTAAAAAGTACTAGTATTATATAAGCACGTTTGCTTTAAAAAATTTATCAATTTGACCATTTAATCAGTTTTTGATTTGAAATAGTAAGTTTTTAATATTTAGAAACTCTAAAAAATGGTTTAAAATTGTAGAAATATATACAAAAATTGTGAAAGCTTTCAGAATATCAAACACAATATTTTTGAATTTGAAATTATTTGTATATTCTACATCTATTGAAAAGTTATTTACATTTTTTATTTTTTATTTTTTATTTTTACTTTATTTTTTGAGTTTTATGATTTTTTATTTTTTATATTTTAACGTTTTTTAATTTTTTTTTTACATTTATATTTAATAATATTATTAGATTATTATTCAAATGTATATGAAGTTTTGTAAGACTTATCAATATTCCTAATTTATTTGAAAAAATGATATTACGTACTCCGTATTACTTTAACTATTATACGGAGTATTTATGTTTTAATTGGACATAAATTATATTTCTAAAAAAGTGAATTTACAAAATTGATACTAATTTAAATATTATACAAAATGAATTCTTCTTATGATCCATTCAACCGGCCTAAATGGCAAAAGTCCATTAGGATTTGGGAGGAATGACATAAACACACGAGTTTTGTACTTTTGTTGCGGCATTCAAATGTTACTATTCCGTGTGTTAGAGCTTTCCAGTGTAATTTGCCTTTTATTTAAAGTTTAAACAGGAAAAGAAATTTAAAATGAAAATTCCATTTAAATTTCTGTAGCAAATAGATCTATGAAAAGGGAAAGATAGCCAAAAAGGGCGAGGGGCTTCATATTTCTATTTCCTGAGCCAGAGGATCTGGGAAAAGGAAAGGAAAGCAGACTCAAATTTCACAGAGAAGAAACACACCGTCTACTGTCCGAGCCTTCTCCCACCAAATAAAAAAGAAAGGGGCCTTCTCAAAAGTAAAGAAGAAGAAGAATTCAAAGTCTGGGTCTTTGTCTAAGCATCAGTTCCAAGTCTGGGTGGGACAGAGAAAATGGTGTTCATTGAAGAAGAGACGATTAAGCAGCTCCATGCTTTGATGGAAAACAGTGAGTGATCTTCTCTGTACTCTCTCATTTCGTGCTTATATGTTTCAGTTTTGTCCTTTGGATCTGGAATTCATTTTAGGTCTGGTGACATTTCCTCTACTTTTATTAATTTTTCTTTTTAATGTATTGCAGCTGATAGCCAACTGATGAAGACTTTCAAGGTTTTTCCTTCTCTCTTTTTCCATCTAGATTTGTAAAGTTCAGAACTGATGTCTCATTTGGAACTTCTGTTGTTTTTATAATTTTTGTTTTGTGGGTTTCGGGATAAAGCTCTTAACTTGGTGGTTCACCTGGAATTTCTTTCTGAAGATATTGATTTCACTTAAACTGACAATTAGTCAATGAGTAGTCAAATAGGTGCTTGAATCTTTTGCTTAGATTCACTTTTGCAGCTATGTTGTTGGTTGTTACTTGCTAGTGTGTGATAACAATGGGTTGAAAATGCTGAGGTGTGATTTCATTCACAATCTTAGCTTTGTAGCTAAATCCAATCTGATGGGTGATTCCTGCAAGCCAGGATTTGTATGTGGTACTTTTGATTATGGTTCTCTTCAACACATGATATTTAAGTCACAGTGATGGGATTTTTAGCCACAGCCGTGTAACCCCCAGTTGATGGGATTATCATCTTTCATAGCTTGCTGTGTTAAAAGACCAAATATTGTTGAAAACCTCTAAGAGGGGCTTGCTCACCATGTGATGTGTCCAAGATCTATCTCAAGGCGATAGAAGATCTCAGTTTTAATTTAAATTTCTCATGATCTCTATTAATGATTGGAAATGGATATTTATAGTCCTGAACTCAACAAAAGATTGTCCAAATAGTAATAGGAATGCTGGTCCGGAGACTTTAAGAATTTATTTGGAACACATAAAATACTAGAGATATAAAATAGGTAGGAAAATAAAATAAATAAAATAGGTAGGAATATACAGTAGAGATTTGCAAAGGAAGGAAATGTGTGAAAATAAAACGTTAGTTTAGCTGGATAATGTTTATATGTTTGTTTGAATTTTTAAGTAATTTGTTAATTATTAACTTGTGTTGTTTAAATACTAACCCGAAAAAGGATCATGTGAAATACATATTTATTTCTCACCAGTGAAATACTCCCTCCGTCCCACTAACAATGGGACAAGAGGGGGTGACACGCAAACTAATAAAAAGTGAGTTATGTGGTTGATATTGAATTGATAAAGTAAGAACAAAGTAAGAATAATTTGGAGCCACACAAATTTTGCCTAATTTGGTATGAGACAATCGTAGTGGGATGGACCGAAAAGGTAAAATGGGACAATCTTAGCGGGATGGAGGTAGTATAACTTATAGTAACAAAAATATAACTTTTAACACAAAATCTATAACTTCCTGATAGTTTTTTTTTAGTTTAAAAAATAACTTATAAACTAATCAATAACAACTTATATGATTTGCCATAAAAATCAAGTTTTTGTTAGTATTACTTATACTTCGTATTTTGTATGTGAGAGTTTCTCAGTCGATGCTTTCTCATACCAAGCCATCTAAACATTTGTAATATTTTGAAAAAATCAATCATATTTATATTCTTTTGCATTTCAAGAGGTGAATTCAATCATATTTATTTAAAGATGGATTTTGAAATTTGAGTAGTTATTTAATTATTCCATATTCTTACTTTGCAGAATGTGCATCAGGGGTACCAATCTGAGACTTTGGTGAGGTTTCTAAAAGCCAGGGACGGGAATGTATCTAAAGCCCATAAAATGGTTAGATGCTATGATGCATAAGTTGCTATGTATCTGTTCATTGTTCAAGCTATATGCAGAATAATGTTTTCAGATACATGTTCGCCTAACCTTTTCCATTCTTTCTAAAACACTCTACAGTTAACTGACTGTTTGACCTGGAGGATCCAAAATGAGATTGATAATATATTAGCTGTAAGTTCTCATTCATATATTACAAGGTTATCTACTCATCTATGTGTACATATGATATTGCTTTTGTTGTGTTTCTGTATTCCATTCTCACTTGTTTGTTACTCCCTCTATCCTAGTTTGGTAAACTTTTTTCTGTCTGATTCCAGATTATGATCACATTTGTATTTTGAGCTCCACGTCCTTTTTACTTTCTGAATTTATTCTTTTGATTATCATCTCACTTTTTATTTTTTGAAGCCTTATACTATTTGTTCTTTCTTCTAAAGGTTACAGCGATGAAATACCAAGTATCTGCTTTATTTTATTAAACTTGTGTCAAACCTACAACAACCATAAATTTTACAGAAAGTTTGAGCATTATTAATGATAAAACTTTGTCTGTAACACCTTACATTTTCAATCTTGATTTTTGCCTTTTGCAGAAGCCAATCATGCCTTCTGAGTTGTACAGGGAAATTCGGGAATCTCAGCTCGTAGGGATGTCCGGATACTCAAAAGAGGTACTTCTAACAACTGGACTTTTCAAGAAGTACAATGTTAATATACTGATGTAGCATTGTACCTTCCATTTTCTTGTCTTTTTAATCATCATGAGAGGTATGCTGCATCTAATTGATATGATGCTAACTTATGTTTCACTTTTCCTTGTAACTTACAGGGCCTCCCTATCATTGCTGTTGGTCTGGGGCTAAGCACATTTGACAAAGCATCTGTAAGGATCTTATTTCTTGCCTAACATAGCCCCGTTAACTTGGCCTTTCTAAAAATTTATTACTACAATAATTTTATATTTACTCCTTCCGCTCTGTTTTTTCTCCAAATGAAGTCAATTTTTGTTTCTTTTGATATTTACGTGTTTTCTTTTTCTTCATTAAGGTTCACTATTATGTTCAATCACACATCCAAATGAATGAATACCGTGACCGGGTCATATTGGTCAGTGCTTAATTTGTATTGGTATAGATTCTAAAGATTGCTAGATTTCTTATCATGTAAACTAATTTATTATTGTTTTCTAGCCTTCTGCTACCAAAAAATTTGGGCGCCATATAGGTACATGTATAAAGATATTGGACATGACTGGTCTTAAGCTTTCTGCTCTAAATCATATTAAGGTATCATTGGGGTATCTTGTCTTTGTTACTCCCTTTGTATCTTTATATTTTCCTTTTTGAAACGTGCCTAAATAATCTTACTTTTCTTTTTAAAGTAAAAATGTGCTCATATTCTTCTACTCTTTCAAAGTAAATCTCAAGTGCACATTTTCCAATTTCTTCAACCCTGTGCCAACTCTAATTTAGAATATAAAAAATAGGGGCAGAGGGAGTTTTTTATTGACTTTTTGGATTTGTTTTTGCATTTGTCAAAGGATTCCAATGATTATTCAAATTCCAATCTAAACTATTTTCCTTTTTCCAGCTACTGACTGTTATATCTACCATCGATGATCTTAATTATCCCGAGAAGACTGAAACATATTACATTGTTAATGCACCATACATATTTTCAGCTTGCTGGAAGGTTTGGCTTTGTATTTTTATTAATACTAGCAGACTTGTAGTGCAACATGAGCGACTATATGTAATACATTTCATGCTTGCAGGTTGTGCGCCCTCTTTTGCAAGAAAGAACTAGAAAGAAAGTTCAAGTCTTGTCAGGGTCAGGAAGAGATGACCTGTTGAAAGTATGCAACTTCCTGGCTTTGTTGTCTTGAAATTTTTGTAGTTATTGTTGCGTAATTTGTTTTTACCACCTTGATGAGAGGTCAATATTAGTAGTCCAACCTCATATTTTCAAAAGTCAGTCCCACTATTCCTTGATCTTTGATTACATTCTATGACAAACCTAATGGAAATGGTTTCAAGTATCATCATCATATTTTCAAAGTCAAATCATTTCTTCATCGTTATAAGTCGTGATTGCTGGTTGTCATTGCTCCATGTCTGCTACTCTAAAAGACATTCCTTCTGCGAGTAGCTAAGACAACGGAATAACGAGCAAGTGTAATGTCTTGTTCAGAATAACGAGCGAGAATGATAAAAATTCTAGCATATGAGTGATGTCTGTCTAATATTCTGTAAAACTCAAATTTTCAGATAATGGATTATTCATCAATCCCTCATTTCTGCAAAAGAGAGGGCTCGGGGTCTTCAAAGCATTCTAGGAATGGTACAGTTGATAATTGTTTTTCCCTGGACCATGACTTTCACAAGCAGCTATACGATTATGTTAAACAGCAAGCAGAGCATTTAGCGCCCGATGCACTAAAGAAAGAAGGGTCCTTTCATGTGGACATCCCCGAACCAGATTCTCATGACACAAAGATAGCTGAAACTTTGGAATCAGAATTTCAAAGACTGGGAGAAAATGGCATTTCGAAGTCAGCTCCATGAACAAAACCTGGGTCTGCACTATTGGCTAGTCGGGTTTCTGTTCAGATGAGAGAATGTTACTACGCTTAGGCATAAAATATCTTAGTAGTTCTACCGGCTGGCCAGCTGGCATCTTCTCGATGCCGGCTGGAGTCTGGGTGGACAATCAAGTGGATAATAATTCATATTGCCTGAATATGCAAGAGCCTATGGTTGCTCATCAACATATGCTACTGCTTTACTAGTTAATTAATGCTTGTTTATGAAATGCATAAAGACATTCATAACATTATTCACGCTAGAACACCAATATAAGTATGAAAGTAATAACAAGACAAGCTGGCAGGAATGTAGTATATAGTTATGTACTTATATACCCAAATCCCGAGCAATTTTGATAGAACTCTCACTTGATCCCCAGATTCCCACACTATTTTGATTTTTGACATAGGTATGGGCCTATGGTCCTTGATTATCAGGACCATTGAAGTGAGGCAAGTTGGGCTTACGGTCTTGATCCACTCATCCACCTGTATCAGGAGTCTGAAGTTTAGTATTAGGGGTTAAAAGATTAAAATGATACTACCTCTGCCCCATTTCATATGTCTCATTTTGATTTGACAAAATTATTAATAAAGTGGTTTAAAAAGTAAAAGTTGTGGTTGAAATTTGAGTATAATAAAGGGAAATGATGTAGGTCACATATTTCTTTCCAAAAAAAGAAAGGAGACTTATTGTGGAAGCTCATATTTAACTATTTAAGTATTATTTATAATTTTTAATATCTGCTGTTGTATAAATTCATGTGGGTTTTTTGAGGCTGAGGCACTGTCGCACTGAGGCAGGCAAGCGCCCCCCCACGGCCCCACCTCTTCTTTGGCTTCACTATTACGTTTGACCGACGGATTGACTCATTGACCATTTGACCTATCATTACAGTTGGATGTTCTATGGTTATAAACCTTACCAAGCATACTCTTATTTAGTTAAAGACCAGGGGCGGAGCAAGGGGGTTTGAGAATATGGAGTACTGATCATACCTCTAATTTGATATATTATGACTTACGTAACTCATTATGAGTAAATAGTTAAAACTATTGAAAATCAGCACTATCTAAACTTGAAATTAGTAAAATTTGATGTCTAATAATCTAATATTGATTATATTTCCAAAATTTTAAAATAGCTTCAAATCTACTCATTACGTATGTGAAGTTTATAATATGTATGACATATATATCAAATCTGTATCTCTATTAATTTTATTTAAAGTATCATTTGTCTAAGTTACATATGAAACATTTAACTCAAATATTGTTTAAAAACGATTCACTCTTTTTTTATCATGTAGGTAGGTGACTTTGGACCCATGACTCGTTTTTCTTGCTTCGCCATTGATTATTTGAGTGCCATTTTCTATTGGGAACACTCAAGTGCCATCAAATTCTCATTTGTGCACGGAACGTATATTTAGTAACAAAAAGGATATTATGTATGAATAGGCGTAAATTACCTCATATATGTTGAAGCATAAAACATTTGTCATACACCGAAAAGCTATAAAACAATTAAACACTATATAAGGCTTTGAAGTACTCCTCCTATCAGGTTGACCTTTTAGGATGAAACCTCGGGTCTTAACATGGTATCAGAGCCAATTCCGATTGTGGTATGACGGCTTGTTTAGCACCCATGATTAAGGGTAGCTTGTTAAGAGTTTGTTTGGCCCGATTATACACCCCGATATTGTTCAGCCCTGTTCGGACTGAAAGGGCATGTTGAAGCATTTGTTCCACAGCGGAAAGCTATAAAACAATTAAACACTATATAAGGCTTTTGGGCTACTGCTCCTATCAAATTGACCTTTTAGGATGGATCTCCGGGTCTTAACAATATAAATATGGCTTCTCCCCATAAATTCTTTATTTCAACATTCTTCATAGTTTAGTAACTAAAGAATATAATTTTAGTTGATTTGTTTTGAAACTTATATTAATTGCACATATTAATTGTAGTACACATATTTAGTTCTATTGATTTGGTTTTATGTATAAACATTTCACATCTACATAAATTCTTTACTCCAACATTCTTCATACCTTAGTAAAGAATATAGTTGATTTGTTTTGAAACTTATATTAATTGCACATATTAATCGTAGGACTCTAATTATCATCCAAATTATTCTTAACCCACAGTGCTTAGGTAAGTACTTGAGTGTCAAAATATAAGTTCATGAATAGTGGACATTCATTCTTCTTCTTCTTTTTTGATGAAATGTAAATTTGTATTAACACCCAAAGAAAAACTATACATCAAAAACCAAGTTCTAGATCTCCTACCCCCCCCCCCCCCACCAACGTAGGGGTTAGGAGAGGTTTTTATTCGATCTAATCAAAATTCTAAAAAATCAAAAGGGCTTAAAGTATATAGTACCAAATGCCCCCAAAACCAAAAAACAATCAGTGCTGCCAACAATGCACACACACAGATCAGAAGAGTTAACGCAAAATCGTAAAGGACCAGAGGTTATAAAAAACCCTGAATCAGGTATTCACAAAACCCATGGTGCTGCCGGGTGCAGTGGCATACGTCCAAAGGTGAAAAGGTGACAACCCACCTTTTGGATCTAACAAGAATAACCATGCGCACATAGAATTTTGCACTCTATGAGGGCGTTTGGTTCTTTAAACATTAAAATTTCACATGTAAACTGATGCAAGTAAAATGTAGGGCTGCAATCATTTTGCACGTGAAGTATAATACATTATTTGGTAAGGTATGCGATCCAGTTTTAAAATACATGCAAAGTGAAATGCATCGTTTGGGAAAAACAACTAACGTACATGAACCTTGTGAACTTAGCATCGTACAGTTTTAATTTAATGTATTTTATTTAAAGAATGTAAAATGTTTTACCAACCTCTCCACGTAAAGTATTTTACACGGTACAGTGTACAATGTTTTAAAATAATACCCTACAGTTTACATTAAATAATCGCACCAAACGGTATAAATTGTTTGCATCCCTACACTTTGCATGTAAAGTAATTACTTTACACCTTAACAAACGCCGCCTATATTTATTGTTTTGTCTCCGCTTTTATCAGAAATTGGAACGACATACATTCATTTATGCTTTTTCTTGTTTTCATCCGCTTTAGGCCCTTTTGGAGTGTTTGCTCCTACAATCAGTTTTTTAGAAGTTAGGGAAGATCAATATCTGAAGGCGGCGAAATTCATGTAAATAATCCATACTTCTTAACATTCTACAAAAATAATCCGTACTTAGCAAATTGATGGAAATAATCCAAACCCTTAAACCAGTTCACAAAATGGATTAAATGAAACGGAAGTAACCGTTCCGTTATAATTTTATACCCATCGTTGCTAGCCTCTATTTACGACACACACCATATCTTCTTCTTCCATATCTATCGGTCTTCTCTAATCAATATATCATCTTCTTCCCTATATTTTTAGCTCTTCAACTCCCAATCGTTCATCAGATTCGTGGAACTATCTGCTATTAAATTTTTGCCCCTGTTTGCTAGTCTCTCTTGTAAACTCTAGATCCATACAAATCACTTTTCTGGAAAATCATGAACGATCCAAACAATCTGTCCCTGTTTTCTAATATATTCTAAGGATGTGAGCTCAACATCCAGCCCATCATCATCAAAGTACGACTGAAATAACTGTGAAGTCATTGCAACAACTTTATTAATGATTAACCAATATGTTTAATTATAACTATAACTAATTTTACAGCTTTTTAGAAATATATTTATACAAATACGAACATCACTTTAACCCTAATACTAACCTTTTTACTGAAACAGCCTTAGAGAACTCTTTCCTCTAAGCTATTTATATTTCAGAGACCCACGTCCTTCTCTGCCTATTTCATCTCCAATTTGTGTGTCTGGCTGTTACAAAATAACCAATAAGTTACTGATTGAGAGATTAAGATGTAGAAAAGAAGAGTATCTATGCCTCTTGTGCCGGAACAGAAGATGAGTTCCAGGTTGATCAAAGATGTAGAAGAAGAATAGTATGGCCGGTGAAGGGAGATGAAGAGTTCTCGTTGAGCCGGAAGTGAAGACTAAGAATAATTAGGGATGAAGTTGTATCGTTAGGAAACAGATCAATATGAGAGTTGGGTTGGGACAGTAACGGAATAGTTAACTCCGTTTCATTTAATCCAGCTTTGTGAACTAGTTTAAGGATTTGAATTATTTCTATCAATTTGTTAAGTACGGATTATTTTTGAAAATTGATTCTAATTTAGCTTTAAAAAAAAGCGTTTTAAAGTAATACAATTGGTGTGTTTTCCTGTAAAAGAAAGGTTATTGATCGAATTGGGTGTAGGGATGTCAAAAAAATCCGACCCGCAATGACCCGCCCTGGCCCGAGACATTTGGGGCGGGTCCGCCCCGCCCAGCCTATAGAATGGGGCGGGTCCGAGTATTAGAACTGACCCGTTCCGACCCGACCCGCTCCGACCCGCCCCGACCTGCTCAATATATAAATATACATACCTTTTCTTAACTTATACTACAAATATACTTCAACATACATATGTGTGTATACAATAAATCATAAATTCTTTGATTTAATAATATATGAATACATATTAGAATGAGATCCACGACGGATTATCAATGTCTTCTTTATATATATAGAATTTTAATACATTTATTCAATTATTAATATAACTAATTAGATTAACTATTCAAGTTTGAGTAATTTTTTCTTAATTTTTGAAATTTTTAGCGTATCATGAATTTGATTTAATATATTGAGTTTTAATTATTATTTAGAGATAAACATTATGTAGATTCAATTGTTAAAAACTTTTTACAAATAAAAATAAAAACTAGCTAATTAGGTTGTGGCGGGGCGGACCCGCCCCGCCCCGCATGGGGCGGGTCATGGATCAACAAGTTTGGACCCGTGCAGGTCACGGGACGGGGCGGACCCGCCCCGCCAAGTCATGGGGCGGGTCCGGGTCTTGCAATACCCGCCCGCCCCGACCCGACCCATTGCCATGCCTAATATTTGGGTAGTGAAGTACAACGGTGTGTACTGTTTAGACTCCAAAGTTGCGAGTGTTCATATGGCGGCAGATGGTTTGTTTAACCCCGATGACAACATGGATCTAGATGTAAATGCGCTATACGAGAATCTGATCCAACGAGCGACTAAAGGGACAAGAGTATTGTCCATGAAAGCTCCCGCCTTATCTTCCGAGTTTGTTCGATCTTCCGCCCGTACAAAGGCGTGCTCGAGTCAGGATGATGCATTGATTGAATGATTGCTATCGAGTTTCCCTCACGGGATGAAGTCCGACGACGACAGAAGCTAAAACACGGTGATAAGAAGATGTTTGGATATGCCCCGTGTGAGGAGGCCGACTCATTTCCATCGGGTTATGGAGAGAGGTCTGCACACTCGATGCAACGTGAGGATTCTGTGTATCAACTCGAGAGTGCATTTACGTCTGCTGCAATAGCGATGAGTAAGCTTCGTGCTCGAGTAAATGCCAGAGGCGGTGACGCAAGAGCTATATCAAAGATGTTTGCACTAATGTGGGGCATCGGTGAGGATGAAGCAGGCATGATTCCGAATCTCGAAGTTACGGGAAAGGAGTCTACGCATCTGGCAGCACTAGAGGATTGTGCTTACCACTCGCTATCTGGACACCCTGCTTATAGTGGTGGATATAGGGTAGATATTGCTTCAATTACCTCTGAAGAGCTTGGGGAAAATGTTCCTGTTAATTGGGCTCGAATACGGACCCGTGCTATAGATATAGCGCAAGTTCAGGTCCAAGGGGATTTGGAATTCCGTGCTATGAAATCCGCCTTACCCGATAATGAATCTGTTTCTCTCTTACTAGAGATCACACTACAGTCACAACTGTTATGTCGCGGGACAAAGTTGGCCCTGATGGGCTTCCTGATATTAGGTTGCAAGGAAAGGGAACATCGCATTTCAGCCTTACTCAGGTATGTTCTGCTGGTCTTGATCACGAAATGACGGTTTCGAGTGCTTTGAACTTAGCGGTATTCATATCGATGCTCCGTCCTATTGCTCTGACATCTGCCTATATGTTGACGGGCTTAGTGAAAGACCCTAATCCTAGCGCTGGTGGGAAAGTATCATCACGATTGAGGTGGCCAAAGCTTTACAATTATGATGCAATCTGGGAACTAGGTAAGTACCTCTTCGACGATTCATTTATAGTTACCCTACAGAGTATCTTAAGAAATCTGCTACCACAGAGTGGGAAGTCGGAAGCTAGTGTGGCCTGTGACATATGGTATTATCTAAGAAGTAGGTATGGGGAAAAGCGAAAATGTCCTGTTGATGGTGCACTTCCAGAGCTCATTGAACACTTACGGAAGGCTCCAAAGGGATGGACTCTGTATTACTGGGCACGCATATCAATAGGTAAATGGCACTATGCAGCACAGAATGGAATACTTGCCCCAATTGCTGCTGGAGAAGAGGCTGATTTGATTTCAGCTTTAAAGAAATTTGTAAGGAAGAGGGTAGATCATTATGCCGCAGTCTATTCAGCGAAGTACAAAGACCAATACAAGGAATTCAAAGATAGTAAACCCGATTCTGACATAGATGAGGAAATAGAGAAGAGACTTGCAAATGAAGAGAATCCGCGGGTAGCAAAGTATGTTCCTCCACATTTACGACGAATGCAGCATCTGGAGGCTATTTTTGAGGAATATGACGACCTATCTTCAGTAAGTGGTACATCTAAGGAGGCATTCGAACGACTGGCTATGGCTCAAGTAAGGCATAAGCTCTTTAAGGGAATTGAGGTGAAATCATATGATCGCATTGTTACAGTTGGAGTTACAAATGATGCTATGCGAGAACTGATAATCGACTCCTACCAAGCTCGGTGGATAAGCTTAGATCGGTGCATCCGTAAGGCAAAAAGCCGAGGAAAAGTCTTCAAATTAGGTGGAGTACCCATCGAAGAGCATCCTTGGGGAGAGTTAAGGACTGAATTTCCCGATACACTGGAAGGCGTCAGGGAGATGGCACGCCAACTACATCATATTGGATGGACTGTGGATCCGGATAAAATGTGGGAGAAACTTGAAAAGTCGATTTCTGAGTTATGGGAGGATTTGACAAAGGAGCTGAATACTGCATTATCATTTATTGAAGAGTCTGGAATAGATTCATTAGATGAACAAGCGTATGCTAACATCAGCAAGCGGAGTAAGGAAGCGGTGAATCACATGCGATTGACACAGGTGATCAACCTCCCTGCATTTGGGTATACTCCACCTTATATACTACCCAAGAAGACAGTTGTTGTCGAGCGAGCGCGTGGCCGTGTACTGCAGGAGTATACGGTAGTAGATACCACCGCTGCTGCTGAGCAACCACATGATGGAGAAGGCAAAAACGAGGATGATGGTTGGAATGAGATTGAAGATGAGACAGTCACTCTCTCTTCCTGAACATATTTGAGCAAATTTTGTTGCATACTTGCATAAATCATGTATTACAAACAGGGGCGGACCCAGGAAGTTTGTCTTGGGAGGGCGGTAACTTAAATAAAATATTTTTTGGGAGGGCGAAAATTATTTTTTATTGTATATATATACTAAAAAATTTTGTTGTTGGGGGGCGACCGCCCCCCTGGGTCTGTACTACGGTCCACCCCTGATTACAAAAACAATCGACACATTGTTCCACATTCTATCTGCCGAAGTTAAAGTGCATCTATAATTGACATTGACTTTGGGTTGAAACTTACATTTCCGACCGTTAGCCACCCTATCCAAGACCACCAATATATCCAATTCCTCCACTCTCATTCAGTTTGGCATTATTAGCTAAAACTATACTCCCTCTGTTCCCATTCCCACTTTCTTTTATGAATGGTTCACTAAAAGTTCTCATTTATCAACCCCTTTTCTGAACAAAATTAACAATTTTGAAATTACTTTTATCATTATGATTGAATATGCAAGTAAATTTATCAAAATCTCTAAATTATGTAGAAATGAGAATAATTTTTCTTTTATTTGATAATTAAATTCATTCATAGAAGAAATTTGGCGCATGATTAATTATAACATTAGGGGTTTGACACATTTTTAAATCATAGCGGGCTAATGCGATTAATTTCCATATCACTAGGATTTTGGTGCATTAAACCTGAAATCATTAACACTTTTTATCGACAATTTAATCATTAAATATTAAAAATATGCATCTATAACATCACATTTATATCTTAAATACTCCATTATATAATATGTAGAACTTTGTTTAACTATCAAACTATTCTTAAATTACATTCGAATTACCTCACTTAATTATTATCTAAATAATTGTGCTCTTTTGCAAGAAGAACCTTTACCACTGACAGAGATACTTGAGGAAGCAATTGTCCACCATAGCTTTGGATTTGTGGTATCATTTTCTTATGTACTTCATTGTATTTAAGCATTTCAATTCAATACTTGTAATTTCATTATGAATTGTTCTAGCTAATTTTCCATAACCAAGGTTAAGGATGAAACTTTAGGCGCTCTAGGTGTTTGATGTATGTTCTCAACCAATTATTTTGATCTTTCCTTTATATTTTAATGTGTATGACTACGGTGTACAACGTATGATTATATCGTTGGGCCTATTTGATAAATTAACACTGAGTTATAAACTGTGCACTTAAAGGTTATACATATTCTAATTGTGGATAGAAATATACCTTAATTGAATATGGTGGCTTTTATAATGTTCTAATCTTCAATGGGGTTAACTTTAGATGAATGTAAACCGTGAAATACTTTACATGTAGAATTAATCACAATCTCGCTGCCGTAACAGGAGTTAGAATACTTAAGTGGCATTTCACTTATAAGAATTGGTGAAAGAACATAGATTCATCGCTAGGAATCGTTTAGGAGTAATCCTGCATGAACTTGTGGTTGCTTTTATTATCGTTTAAAAACCCACAATTCTCTATTCTTTTCCTAGTTCTTTTACCAAAACTCTTTCCAATTTTGAAACACAGAAACAACATTTTCTTGTGTACTACATTGGCACTTGTGCACTTGCAAGTTTTAGTCCATCAAAACTTATCCTTCATTCTTGATTACCAAGTCACGTATCTAAGCTCAGATAACATTGTTAGATCATATATTGGTTTATGTCGTGAGAGTGACATGTACACACCTAAATTTGTTAATAGTCTCTCAATCTCGGAACAACTTGATCACGAATCGCATTTAAAGGTTGTTGCCCAAGTTATGCTGTTGAGAAATATATATCAGTTGGTGAGATTATGTATTGGAACTAGGTTTGGACCCGGTTCGGGCCACCTGGCCCGGGAACTGGACCGGCCCGACACTGTTTGGGCGCTGCCCGACTCTGGAAACCGGGTACCGGTTCCGAGTCATGACCCATTTTTTGGGGAATCCGGGGGCGGGTACAGGCTTAGGGAAAGGTGAACCGGCCCGGCCGGTTCCAGGCCCGGTTCGGGCCTTTTTTTTGTCTGGGCTGGGTGTTTCCGATGGGTTTGGAGGATGGGGGGATGGGGGTAGAGGATGAAATAATAAAATATAAAAAAAAAAATAGAACCGGAACCGGCCCGACCCAGAACCGGTGGTAACCCGGGCCGGTCCCAAACCTTCACCCCAAACTTCAAAATCCCGCCGGGTCTAGGCCGGACCCGGCTTGGCCCGAGTCCAAGCCTAATTGGAACAAGCCCGAAAAACATGTATTAGAGGCAAATATCATCACCGGAACAAATGTGGGAGACACTGTTCACATTCCCAAAGTGTGATTGTCTCTATCTGACGTAAATCACGTAACACTTTGAATTTTGAGAGGAAACACTTCCTGGTCTCGGTATGCTTTGCGATTAGCATAAACTAAAGTGACGACCAGTCTTTATCTCAGGCCGGATTATACCTTGAGAAAAATGTCTTTACACACGGTCAACTATATGTTGCCATATCAACGGTCAAGAGTAAAGGCGGATTAAAGATTTTCATTCGCTCTACGTATTGGGGGATCTTCCATTCGGGGTCTTCCACCAACACCATACATATTGTCTTTAGAGTGGTCTTTGAAAATTTAAAAACATAGCCTTTTAATTTTTTAATGTCTCTTAGTCATGCTAAGGTATTACACATTCTAATATTCTATATTCTTTCTTATATCATGAAAAATGACATGTATATTACTTATAGAGTTTCTCCGAACAAAAATATGACTTAACTTGTTATATATGTTTTGGATAAAATATGACTAATCACTTGTATGAATAACTGAATATGAGTCACTATAGTATATTTCAGAGTGACAAGTCACTAGTAGATGATGTGTCATTGATAATTAGTCACTGAATATGTCATTTTTTTGGAAAATGTTAAAGTAACTCATTTTTTTCTTTTGAATTTAATTTGGTAATATTCATGAAAAAAGACCTTACATCATCTTATTACTAAACTAAATAATTATGTGCTTTTGTCAATATAAATTACGAATCCCAAAATTCACACAAAAGAAACATTACACATATACAAACAATATACGAATTATAAACTAACAGTTCCATACACAAGTTGCACACGGGGCGTCGCCTAGGCAGAAAAGTAGTTTAATACTAGCATAAATATAAGAGATTGCATAGCTTTCTATATGGAAAATTTAGTCGTTTTTTGGAGAATTGGAAATCAGTTGGATGAATAAATAGTAATTACACAATATAGGATCAAAAGTTATTCAAAGTGCATAAATAGGACTATATGTTAATAATTCCCCAAACGCGATTTTTTTTTCTATTGAAAGTACGAAACTTGATCAATTAGGAAACAACCAAAGCCACACAAACACCAATTAATATTAGAAACAGTACAGTAACCGCGATCGCAGAGGAAACAACCAGAGCTGTAGATGGCTTTTTAAATTTGTCGGCGAAGCCAAGTAGTAGTACTGCTTTGCAAGAGTCACAATCCAAGCAAAGTTTGTGTTTGTCATTGTTCCATCTAGCACAATCACTGCCCAGAGCCGTTGTCTGATTGATGGCCGGTGTCCATTTTGTTGGACTCACAAAAGTGAAGTTACAACTCCGTGGAGGAATACAACATCCAGACTGCGCAATCATGAAATGTTAGTTCATGACAAAGATACAAGTGTGTGTATATACATTAATTGGATCGCGTTAAGACCCGGGTTCCATATTAAAAGTCAAGACTTATATGACCTTGGAGAAGTAGCGTAAGTAGTAAGTCTTGTATAGTGTTTAATTGTTTTATAACTTTCTGGCGTGTACAAATGATTTTAAAGTTTAGATTTGAATAGAACCTGTAAGGGGGAGAGGTTTGCGGCATAAAGTTTTTTAGCGGAGGAGAAATGGAAAGGCGTGCTCTTCAAGTCAGCGCAGGGGCCGTCGGCAATGCCGAGGCAAGCTACGATTCCGTTCCACCGATGCACATCGCTAACCCGACCGCGGAGCCTGGAAGAGAATGAATCGAAACGGTATTCGACGTAACCCCGGTTGGGCGCCTTCTCGAGGGAGCCTGAGTGTTTGGAGTCTTGCATCATCAGAATGCTTAACGAAAGCGTGGCTACTGCCAATAAAAGAATTATAAACAGTCCCATGGTACGGTATGCAACATTATTATTCTTCTCTTCTACGCCGCCGCAGCTCCACAGGATCATTTCGACTCCGGCGACGACGGCCACTATCCCGCCTGCGAATTGGACAGAACCGTTCATCATGAGACTGATCCAAGGATTGCTGCTGCTTTTCAGGACCGAACAGCCGAATACCAGAATAGTGATGCCCAGGGCCAGGATTGCAATTGAACCAAAAATTGCCCACCAGTGGTTCGAGGCGCGCTCTCCTGCCATATTTCGATAACTCGCTTAGCTGGGGCACTCGCAATTCTCTATATTTCCTTCAAGTTCTGGGCGCATATTTAATTTATATGAGATGGAAGGCAAGGGTGGTGGGGGGAAAAGGAATTAAAGAAACCCACAAACGAATGTTCTTAATTTGCTCGCCACTCCAGCCCATTAAAGTACTCGAATCTTTTCTCTAAATTTGTAGGCTAAGAAAACACATTTGATCTCACCTATTTGGCGCCACGCACATCAGGCATGACATAAGAATTCATTTTAATTTTGCAATTGCTGTAACCAGGGGCAAGGGGTTAGGGTGGTCAGCCGACTCCGCTGAAAGTTCATGAATGTAAAGCTCCGAAATATCTTTGATTTGATATATTATGGGTCACATAACTCATTACGAGTAAAAAGTTATGACTTCTAGAAAAATTAGAATCATCTTACCTTGAAATAAGTAAAATTTGATGTGTAACGTCAGTTATATTCTTAAACTAGTTTTCAAGCCCGTGCGATACACAGCTGTATGTAATTTAACTAATTTTAGATTTGATTTTTTTCGGGATCATATATAAACCCAGTCTAACATAGAGTTTGTTTAAGAATACTAAAATTGGTCTAATTGGCTTATTTTGCTGAAATTAATTAAATTTTAACTGGATGGGCTTATGTAAAGTATATTCCATTTGTAAAATAAAGAAAAAATTATATGAAAATAGCTAAAATGATCTTCTACATAAGCAATCTTAAGTAAACATAATATTTGTTATGAACCGATTTTAAGGATTTCATAATCTCACATCTTCTAAGTTAGTTTATTATGCACCTCAATTGTTTTTCTAATATTCCTTATTCGACTTGGTATGAAATACTGAGTACATGCTTTTAACTTTTAATAATAAGATGTTACATTTTACTCATTATTTCGTCACATTGTAAATGTAAACATACAAAGATATCCTAATTTGGATCAGGAATCTATTTCAAATGCAAAGACATATTTAAATTGTAGTTGTAAAAATAGGGTATTTTTTGCTAGGCTAAACGTATTTACTTATTGAATATATGTTTGTGTGGATGGTATCAACTTTCATTCTTATTACATAAAGTAAGCTCTTAAATATAAAAAGCTTTAATGAATATCTATTTTGTTTTTTAATTTCAACAATATGGTACGTGATTAAAATTCTCATCGTTGTGTTAATAATTAATAAAAAAATTGTATAAGATGCGAAAAAAACGAAGTATTGCGTTACCAAAATAAATAAGGTGGTTTTCTAAAAACTTTTGCTTCCATATCAATATGCAATAAAAAATAGAATCTAATAAAAATAAAAGGTATAATAATAACTAATAATTGTTATACATAATGACATGGTAGGATTATGTGGCGCTATGTATGCTCTTAAAAAGTTCCTCTTCCGAATACCGTCCGAACAGAGGGATTATGTGGTGCTTTGTTATACAGAGGAATGTTCAGGTCCGAACATTCCTGGTCCGAACACCGTACGAACATGGACGTTTGGGGCCCTTTCCCGGTGGAATTTTTTGATGAAATTTTTTGAGCATGTTCCTCATCAAGTCTAGTTTGTCCATACCAAATTTCAGCTCAAAATTCGATCGAGAAGATATTCAAATCATTTTTTGAAGTTGACTGCGTCAAAATATACATATAAAAACGCAGTCAACTTCAAAAAATGATTTGAATGTCTTCACGATCGCATTTTGAGCTGAAATTTGGTATGGACAAACTAGACATGATGGGAAACATGCTCAAAAAATTCCACCGGAAAGAATTCCAAACGAGGATGTTTGGATGGAAGGTCCTGTCCGAACGTGGGGACCTGATCATTCGTGTGTGTGTATGGAATAGATCAGATGAGAATCCTCCTTAAGCTGAAAAGTGAGAAGCAATAGGAGCCGACAGATTAGATGAAATCTTACGGCTCTCATTTGCTTCTGGTTAAATGATTTCATATACATCGTTTTGTTCATTCCTTTTATTACGAGTTTCTCTCTCCTTATCTGATTCTCTTCTCATCGATCTCTCTGCTCCAATAATTTTTTTCTCTCCGATCAACCAGGGGCGGATGCAGTAAGACTAAAGGGGGGGCAGCTGCCCCCAATAAAGGTCCACTAAACTCTTCTAATTTTTTAATAAATATTAAAAGCCCAACTATTTGCCCCCAATTAAAAAAATGACTTGCCCCCAATAACCCAAGATCTTCCAGCCCGCCCCAGTGATGAAAAGAATATGACGGAAGATGAAATGAGGCGGCCAAACTATGTTGAGTGCAGAGCAGCAGAAGGCTAGACGGATAGTTCAGATTTCAGAGAAAAAATCGGCGATTCAGCGACCGACCAACACAGCATCTGAGCCTGATTCCAACTTTTCATTCTCCGGCCTGCGTGGCTCCGTTCTCTGTTTCTCCCAGCCGAAAGATTGAAGAGCAAAAGAGGTAAGCCTTTTGACCTTTTCACTTCATTGGCTATTTGGCCTTAATGGATTTCAACTTTTTCACTTTATTTTTTCATCTTTTATCAATTAGAGATGTTAGATTTTGAGTGTTTCCCACTTTCCGTATATTGTGTAGTTCAATTTTTAGTTACATTAAATACTGTTATTTAACTAATTATAGTGGTATTAATATATTTACATCAATCAGATTAAATATTTTAGAAGGTTCAATTACATTTAATTTCATTGATGAGTTACCGAAATTGTTATACATTCATTAGTGTAATGTTTTATACTACTCCGTATTAGAAAGCAGAAACCCTAAATGTAAATTATATATTATTTTAGGTAGTTAAATAAAAATATAAAATGTATTAATGTATTAAAACAATTAGTTTTGATTTAACTTCTTTTCCAGACTCAATGATGAGATATTAGGCTACCGTTCCTTCACCAGGTAGTTCAAATAATAATGCTTCAAATATTGCATCTCAATGTTCTTCTTCAATACCTAAACAAGTTGATTTGGATGAGCTTCCCTCAAATCCCGCAAAAAGAAGGAAAATTTCAGAGAACCATCCTAATCAAATAGACAAAATCAGGAGAAAATATTTGATTAAAGGACTTTGTCAACCACGTGGTCATGATTTCCCACAAAAAGAGATTGAGAAGACTTTAAGACGCTTTAACTCTAAATAATTTTGATCAATATTCTAATTGGTTAGAATATAGTATACAAGATGACACAGCCTTTTGTTTGCCTTGTTACTTGTTTAAAGATCATTTTGAGAATCGTGCTGGGAATGATGCATTTGTAACTGAAGGGTTCTCAAGTTGGAATAAAATGGAGCGATTAGCTTCTCATGTGGGTAATATAAAGAGTTACCACAATAAGGCACTTATGAAATGCGATGCTTTAATGAACCAAGACCAGTCAATTGTTGTTGCTTTGCATATACAAAATGAAATTGTGAAGAACGAATATCGTATTCGTTTGAATGCTTCTATTGATGTTTCGAGATTTTTATTGCATCACGAACTGCCTTATCGTGGTCATGACGTTAATATATTATTATTATTATTATTATTATTATTATTATTATTATTATTATTATTATTATTATTATTATTATTATTATTACTATTTTTTTTGATGCATTTTTTTCCCGCCCCCAATAAGTTCTAATCCTGGATCCGCCACTGCGATCAACGACAAAAGATAAAGATCGCCGGCCAATCGCTTTAAACTTCTGCTTTCGTATTTCATCGTTGATCTAAGTTGGAGGAGTGCATGCCCTGTTTGTGTAAATCTGGATTATGTTTTCGTTTCCTTGGCTCAATGGAGATTGATGGAGAGTTTCGACGGTGGTTTTATAAATTCAAAAGGTGACTTGTGCTTTACTGTCTCCTATTACCTTATTTCAAATACAAATTCTACTTGGTCTCTATGAAATTGTTCTAAATTTAGGTTGATTGACCTTCAATTTCCTAGTTTTAGGCTTATTAACGTATGTTTTCCTAATTTATTCAATATTAGGGTTAATGTTGTATCTAATTAACGTTTAATAACTAAAAGTAAGGTATAATCATGCGTTTCTCCAAAACAAAGATATGAATTCTGTTATAGTTATTATATATGGAGTATGTTTTTCCCCTTAAAATCAGCTTTTAATTTCGTCCATAATTGGATGAACTTAAGTTGTGATTTTGCTCTGACTATTGTTAGTTGTTATGAACTTCCGACTATTAGTTACAGATTTATATTTAAAAGTTAATCATGATTATTTTGAAGTGAGGATGAAAAGAAGCACCGTGACTTCTTAGTGACTATTCAAAAACATTTTAAATTAGTTTAACAAAGTGAAATTCTATCATTTACCATTGAGATATCATAACACATGGTAGGTTTAAAACAAACTCATTTTTTACAAATGACTTTTTATGTAAGATAATCTGAATATAGGATAGCTACAATTGAAGAACGTCTTTTAAAGTTATTGAATTAAGTGTTATGAATTTCTTATTAAAAAAAATGATTTAAGCTCTATTAGTGTAGTTGTAAAGCTAAAGAAGCTAGTTTACTTTTTTTTTATGATATAGGAGAAGAAACGTCAAGAGATCAACATGCTTCTATGTTTATTGTATTGCAGTTGACATTTTTTCCTATTTAGATTCAAAGTTCTGGATTTGGTTTAACATTGCTAACATACTTAAAATTACTCATATTTGATATGTTGTTCTCCATAGCTTTAGCTACATACGGAGTACTTAAGATATCTGGTTATTTGTAATCTTTTGGTCTGGTATTCACAGCTTTACGTGTAATATATTTAATAGTTAAACTTTAAATCTATTTGATCTTAACTAATTTTAACTTTGGAATGAAAATTGTGTGTAGGTCTCGAAGAGTGGTTCTTTCAGTGAATGCAACTAGCAACAAGACTACCAAGATAGCTCTTTTGTAGTGCCGCATTTGTTTGTCCAATGTGTCTTTTGTCATTTTGTTCTTTTTCTCTATATGTAAAGCCGCACCCGGTTTGTGAAGAAAAGTCCATTACGTACTGTGCTTTGAATTCTGAGTGCAGCTAAAGGTTTATGTTCTTTTTTTTTTTGGATGAA